TGAAGACCTACCCCAGCTGAGACTGGTCGAATATTATTATCGATTGCTGGTTGGTTTCGAAGAATCCACCAAGCTACGGTGAGTGATTCTCCTTTAATCATCTGCGTGCTCTGGGGGTCTCGAACTTCAGTGCGGGCAGTGGAGACGTTTGGTCGGATAGTCACGAATTGTTGTGATTTTGCCAAATAACTCGATACTCTCTGTGAGATCGTAGGTAACGCAACAGGACAAGGAAATACGCATTACTGGTGGTTGAAAAGGATACTTGCAGATTCAACTTAACTGACTCGCACTGTATGCAGGGGCGGCAAAACTACTGGTACGCAAAAATTCGATGGCATTCTGATATTAAACTTTGCAAATCAACACTTACTATTATGACTATTTATCACAAACATGATAATACGGTACATGTTACCTATTTTCGTAATGTGGCAAGCTGGTACTGTTTATCCACTTCTCCCATGATCTCAGAAGCGCTTCTTCAAGATAGTGTCATTTGAGTTCCTGAAAGAACGATTTTTTTTCTTTCAGATGGCCCACTCAGAATAATTCACGGGTTCAAATCTGGAGAAGTGAAGGGCCATTCGCAGTCGGGCAGTCAAGTTTTTCTTCAGCGATAGCATCAGCAAGTGAATTCCCTATAGTCTTCTCATGTTGGGAGTTGAAGTCTGAATTTAACGGCAAATCTCCTTATCACGAAAGACGATGTTCGCGGCGCAAGCCACCGTGAATCGTTTCAGCAACCTTTTAAACCTTTCCAATCTTTTCTCTTCATAGATTCCGCCAGCAGTTGGCATTTTGAAACTATAAGGGAGCTTCCTGAACTTCCCCCTTACTATCCTCCTCATTGACCAAACGCTTATTCATAGGTCTTTCATCACCCAGCGTATCGATTTCCTGGTGTTCCTTTGGATTTTTTCTTACGAGTTTCACATTTTCACAATTCGTAGCTGCGTGCGACGGTCTCTTTTTTCTTTGTTCTTCAGTCTTCGTTTCTCATAACGTTACACTGTATTCTCAACCATTCTCGGGACATGAAAAGGACCTTCACAATACCGCTTGTTTCTTGGAGGCATTATTAAGTTTCGCAATAGCGCGTTGTAGGTAGGAACACCTAATCATTTCGTATTCAAGCGCGTATGAGTTCCACAAGTTTTAGTCATCACACCATAGGCATGTGAAGGAAGTTGTTAAGAATAGTTCAGAAATTCCAAATGTTTAGGTGTACGGGTAACTTTGCCGCACACTATAATGTGGCATTAAAGAGGAAATTCGATGGTGGATGCTCGATTATGACAGAATCAATCGTTCGAGAAGTAAAATCGAGCTCCCTGTCCATAGAGTGAACCTATGTTTGTGCTTGGGTTTACCTCACGTTGTCTTCCCAACCCCTCTTTGGCTCACCCTATGAATTTGAGTTTTGAAACCCTCTATGGTCCACACTTGGACGCGACTAGGACACCTGATGTCTTCTGTTTGACGATGCCTTAGCAAGCGGAAAACCTGACAAGCTCCCCCTTCAAGTTCGATACGCATTGCTTTTCCTTGATCGCAATACATAGAGTCGAATGGTCAATTGAAGTTATCATCGTGCAGTCTTCTAAAAACCGCGTGTGGTTTCTCAATTCTCAATAGAGATGAATTACGGGAGTACGCTGGTGGACTCGCATTCTACAGGAAAGTTAGTGGCTACCAAGTGGCCATGACTTTCCTCCACAGCAAGACCGCCTCACGAAATGAAGAAATAATTGTGACGGTACTTCATCAATCCGTCTCCATTTTCCACATTGTTGTAATCTTGGCATGAAAGAACAAAAGGTAATA